AGCCTTTTGACCGATGGCTAACAGTACTGTTTACAATTCTCGTGCGGTTAGTGAATAGTACATCTGTTATTGTTTACTGTTATTATTAAGTTAAGATAGAAATTCCATTGCAGTACCATTTATATTTCAATTAAAACTAATTGATATTGCATATCTTTTAGGATTTGAAAAATTTTGAACCATTTAAGAGCATTAAAATAAATATTAATCCAAATGAAAGCTTCTTAATTCATTTAATCTTTGTCCATCTTTTTATCAAATTCTCAGTAACTGATTATTTCACTGTTTCGATCAATTCAATTATATCTTAACAGTTATACTTTACTTCTTCATCATTTATCCTCATTTCTTCGGCTATTTTTTATCTCTGTCAAAAAAAATGAATAATTTACACCTTTACTTTTTATTATTTTCCAATATCATTACTTCTCTCAAAATCTTTAATCAGTGAGTGTATCATGCATAGCTGTGAATTCTCTTTTCATCAAAATTCACAATTTTTATATCAATTAAAAGTTTTCCATTAATTTTCTACTAATTGTTAGTGAAGAATAAAAATTTTCATCCCTCTTTGATACTTTGATAAAACTTAAATTCAATGAATATGAATGAAAATATCATCCGAGAATTACTTTTATGCTTGTAAAAGTCCCTGTTATCGATAATTGATTGTTATTTGATGATGTGATGTGTGCTTTTGCAAATCATTATACTTTCCATCCCTGTCCTTCAAACATCATCACAAATTACTCCCTTCGCTCTGACCTTCGTCACAAAATCACTGTAATCATAATCAGTAAATCATTTCATCCACTCGTCACTAATTATTCTATACCTTACTATACCTCCTACCTATCTATCTATCAATTCTCGTTTTCATTTGTTAGGATGACTAAATTTGAGCAGTCTTATGTCCAATGTTGATCAAATTCTGTTCTAATTTCTTCACTCATCGCTGATCGATATCTTTTGGCTTGATCTTTGAGGTCATTCATATTATCTTTTATATCACTTACTTATTCCATTATCTATTACTCAAGTGCTAACGAAATTCGACAGATCCAGTAGCTAGTAATATTCTCATTTAGCATCTAATAAATGCGCAACAGATGGAAATTCTAATGAAATGTTTGTTGACTTTTAAATGGTATGAATTCATATCATTTTATAAAGCATATGATATTTTGCACACTTTTTAAGCATAAAACTATTGTAATTGTCTAATTATTTGCAAAACGCTATCATTAAGCAAACTTTCAGACGATCGGAAAGCGATCTGAACGAAAGCGACGATCGTTTGCGCCAATTGACCACAGAAAATAGAAATATCAAAGAACAGGCGTGTATTTTATACTTATAAAAGATGAAAAAGATACTATTTCAAGATTTCGTAGGTTCAGTGTAACAAGAAAGAAAATACCTGTAATTTACTGCAATTACAGGTATTTCTTTTGCAAGAACGAATTCGTGAAATGCAACAAGAAAATTCATCGAAATGTAGTGAAGTGACAGCATTGAAAAGAGAATTGGAAGAATTGCAGCGAAATGCTGTAAGTTATTTGCATACATTTGAATTGGTAAAATTTTTTTCATTTGCGATTTATTGCGTATATTTTAATTTGGTTTATAAATTAGAATTGCAATTTTACAAATTACAATTTGAATCCAAAATTTTTGACTGATAACGTTTAATGTATTAAATATCATCTCATCTTTTCCCTCTCTCTTCAATATAAATCGTATATTTTCACTTTCAAAAATTTCAGAAATATGTTAGAATTTTTTTTTAAATATCAATAAATATATTACTTAGATTTACAGTGCAAAAGATTCGTTTAGAAATGTTAAAATAAATGGAGTTGAATTTTGAAGAATTAATTGATAAATTAAATATATAATGGACTGTTTAATCGTTATCAGTGTCCCTAAGAGAAAAGTAACAATAAGGGATCTCCAGCTGTGTAATAAAGATAAACTTAGTGATAATGATGATCATGCTTTTGCAATAACCTTTCTCTTTTCTGAACTTTTCTACAAATTGTTGTGATAACTGTATGATATAAATTATATCGTTTATATTAACCATCATTGTCACTGTTATTAATAATCTATGAAGAAGTTCATACATCTCATCACTATCTTTATCATTAATTATCGCTATCTCTACCGATATTGCACAATCACAGTAATATATTCGTACAATAATGCATTTAATTTAACATTCATTAACATTTTTTTTTCAAGCATTATCTTTTGTTTGAGTTATATTTTCATTCATTTCAGTTATTCATTTCCATTACTGTGTGAACATATTGCCGTCACACCAACTCGCAATTCCATTCAGAGTACTGATATTAGGAATCGGGAAATCCTAATAAGATATTAAACAATTGTTGTTAAAAATTTTATTTTTAACTTGTGAATTTTAGGCAAGCCGAAGTAAAATGCATACAGAACTCGCTAAACTTCAAGTTTCCGTACGAAATCTTCAACTTCAGGTTTGTTCTGAATTAGTTTCGGGAGTTCATTATTAGCAGTATAAAAAAATGACTAAAAATCTTAAAATTATCAAAATTTAATTTGTTGCAGGAAGAGTTATTGAGACAAGACAATGCGGAAATGCAAAAACAATTGAAAATTTGTGAGGAAGAAAAATTAGCCACAAAAACTGATTTCGTAGGTTTTAAAATCTCATCAAATTTACTTATATTTACATTTTTTGCTTTTTTTCTTTCTTTTATTGAAATTCAAAAAATTTTTCGTTATTATTGTTTTTAAATATTCTTCAAAGTGAAAACAAAAAGTACAACTTTTAGGAATCGTTGCAATCAATGCACAGTGCACTTCTGATGGATCACGATGGCTTGCAAAAATTGCACGATATGCTTAGTGCTGATTATGATCGTGTAAAATATGACAATACGTTGTTAAATATTAAACTGAAAAACCATAAAGTATATCTTTGAAATGAATTAAATTTAAAAGTTTGTTCCAATTCTAACTTTTCATTATGTTAAAAAAAATTTGAGAGAGCTAACAATGATAAGAAAATTTCATTTATCTTTTTAATTTTTTTCATCACAATTGCAGGGAACTGCGGAGGAAGTTTTAAATGAACGTCGACAGTTCGAAGAATTAAAATTAGCAATTGCAGAGGAACGTGAACGACGTGATCGTGAGGTGCGAATTATGCGAAATGATATGATGACGCTACGTAATAACTATGAACAAATACGGTGAATATTCTTAAGGTTAATTTAGAAAAAAGAACTTTTACAATTAAATTAAATCATTTCATTTCTCATTTTAAGAATCAAATTTTGCAGAAAGGATAATATTTCGTTGGCACGTAACGCACAACTTAATAAGGACGAATTGCGGAAACTTCGATTTGTTGAGCAAAATCAGCGCACAATTAGCGAACGTTTGACGGCGCAAATTGATGATTTACAGCAAAAGCTACAAGCGCGAAATCTAGAAATTACCGAATTACTTCAGAAAATTGAGGTAATGATAAAACTCGCAGCTAGGCTTTTTCTTTTAATTTTGAATTTCAACAATTTTATTCCTGTGTGTTTTGAATTAAAGAGATAATAAAATTTATGACTGATGATAAATTTATTATTGTGAGAGTAATTTGCAAAGATTATCTGGTAATTTCTCTGATCTCTCAACTTCTAATATTTTGTTTTATGTTTTTCCAGCTATTGTCAATTTCAGTTATTTACACATCTGAACAAAACACTTGAGGAGGAAAGTCTCATTCTGAATCGACAGGTTAATCATCTCATGGCACAAAATCAGGAACTTCTGACAAAAACATCGAACAATAAAGATATTACCTATCATAATGCACAAAAAGATTTTCAGGTATTGCTCAAAATTTTTATGCGACTTGAAATTTCAATTATTTTGGGTTGCAAAAAAAATTGACCTTCATTAAATTAACATTCGACTGATAAGAGTAAATTCGATAAATTCATTTTTAATTTATTCCACTTCTCTTTTTCAACCTATTTTCGTTCTATTCTTCTCAAATTTTCAATTAATGTTAAATTTTTTGGTAATTTTCGAGTCATATAAAAAACTCGAGTGAAAACAAAATTTGAATCTTTTTTTTGTTAAAGGAGAAATTGTCCTCGTTGAGAAGTGATAAAGAAGAATTACAAGGAAAAATAAATGAGCAATATCATATTTTGGATAACAAAAAGGGAACAGCCAAAGAGAAGCCGACATTTTTGGAAGGAACCGCCAAAGCGCTCATTTCTAAGGTATCCAATTAACCTTGTAATGATGATCATATTACAATTTTATGACTTCATGGTCTTTGGGTATAACCTTGAGATTAAAGAATAATTTTTATCAAATTTTATTTTAAATATTAGCATCTCTCAGCAGACAATCAAAAATTGGAGTACATATTTATGATTTGCTATATAAATTAAATTACTTTTTGATAAATTATTAAAAAATTAAATTCAGGATTTTCAAGAAAAAAATTAAATTAACATTGGAAATTATTGACGACTTTTGACTTTTTCAAAGGAAAAAGTCAAAAGTCGTCAATAATTAACAACGTCCCAATTTATTTGTTTACTTTTGTCAACTTATTCCTGACATCATACTATTGCAGAGTTCCGGATCACATAAATTCTCGATGAACGATTGCGTCAGCAATGGTGTATTTTCTACGGAAAATTATGTGAATGATGCTTCTACCGGAGAAAGTAGCGCTTATCCGGCAGAAGAATCGTTGACAGCGACCGCTGCAAAACGAAATTTATCGCTTAAAACTTCGACAAATGGTCAGTTACCGATGAAATATTACAATCGCCGTATGGAAACAATCATCCAAAATAATTGTAGCAGTAACAGTAATTCCAATAACATTTTATACCATAATTATAGGAAAATTTCAAATGAAAGCCCAAGTTTTACTTTCTCGGAATGTTGTATGAGTTTTAACTCAAATGAACATTTCAACAATAAGGCCCATTCATCGTGTATGCGATCGCCTGATACCGATATCATCATTCCCTTGAATTCTTCATCATCCACGGAATGCATTTCAAGATCAAATAGGCCTAGAAGTTTTTATGATAATGTTTGCTAGAAACTTTAGTTTTTTTTCTTTTCCAATTAGCACAAAATTAGCTACGATAATTTGATTTATTTAAAATTTTACATGCTATTCACAATATAATTTTTCTAGTCTTAAAAAAAATGGAAGATATTATTTTAATTTTAAAATGTCTTTTTGAATATTTCTAATGCTCAATGATTATATTTGCATATTCATCATTTACTGTCTGTGTGTTCAAATTATTCAATTCTAAATTTTTTTTTAAATTCGATTTTATCAAGATAATATTTTTAGAATTGAAAAAAAAATTTTCTGAATTTAACTGTAAATACAACTGGTACTGCACGATATGAAATATACTGCACATCATGCTTTGTTACCGATGTAATATTTATCATTTGTATATAATTTTCATTTGTGCACTTTTGCATGCAGAAATTCCGCACTTATTTTTTGCAACATACTACACAAAGAATATTATCTTAAATCACATGCAGCTAAGCTATTATTTTGGAAATATTTCGATCATTTAAATGAGGAAGAAATAATTTGTTTAGGGGTCAGGAAGGAGGACGATTATGCAAGATGACCTGAAAGTTAAGATAATATTAACTTTAGATTACTGATTCACACATCTTTCTTATGCTGTATAGTAGTAATATGCAAATGTTTATTTTTTATTTCCTTTTTCATTTTTGCCTTTTATTTCGGGCAATTTTTGTCTATCTTGTTGGCACTTTATGCATTATATTTTGTTTATGTGCACTAAATTGAATTTAATCACTGATTAAATTTGCACTGTATCTCATGTTAAGCACTGTATCTCATATTTGTAATATTTATTTATTTTAACAAAAATTGGTTTCTAATTTTATTGAATTTATTTTAAATTGATACTATTTTAAATTAGCCATTCATTTAATACTACATTATTAATATGCATTAAAATTGCTACATTCTTTATTTCTATCATAATTTTTTAGTTCTCAAATTTGTTAGTTCATTTCAATTTTTTTCCTAACAAATAAAAGAACATATTTCATATTCAGGATACTGCTCAATTCCGGATGACCAACCTTGCAGTTCATCCGACGAATTAACATTTATCAATAAGAGCTGTGAATTGCAACAGAATGGTAAAAGAAATATATATATACCATATGATTTACCGATAATGTAATTAATTTGCTGAGAAAAAAAACATTTCATTCTGATTATGACATTTTCAGGACAACAAGTAAATGCAGAATCGAGAAATGATTCAATGCATTGTTCTCGAACATTTATGAGAAATATTTTCCGTGCCGAATATTCATCACTGCGCAGTACTGTTCCATTCAACGAACGATCCATTGATATTATCAGTTTGAGTGGTAACATTCTTCCTACGCTAATAACTAATAACTGTTAAAATGAATAAATTGAAATGAATTAAAAAATTTTCTTTTCTTTAGGTTCTGAACGTGGCATTGATGTACCCTCATCAATTCATACTTTACCACCACGTCCACCATCTCGATCAAATTCAACCGGTCGATCTTCACGCAATCGATTACCTCCTCCAACATATCAACCAAAAAATTCCATCAAACAGTCAACAGCAATTGTAATTAGCAATAAACCACCACCGCCACCATATAAGGGACGAGTTACGGTAAAATCTTTTCATTTATATTATCAGAAAAATTACGAGAAAAGTAAAATCGCATAAGATTTAATTATTATCATTTTTTGACACAAACGGATGATACGATGAAGATGATAAACTTATTTCCGGGAATTTCAGGCACCCACAAAACAAACTATCGAATTTTCACCGAAAGAAACATCAACACCCAAATCGGAGCATAATGGATCGGAAGATGAAAAACGAAATATCATACGTGATAAGATGGAACGGAACGAGAAAACAATAAGTATCTATGAGAATGTTGATAACAACGATGCATCTCTCGGTTCAGAAATTGGTACTATTTGGTACGAGTATGGATGTGTCTGAGAGAACTGTGAGACAGTTTTTGTAATTATTTTTATATCTCCTATTCAGTTATGCATCTGTAAATAATCTAAATCTAGGTTTTTATTTAAATCCCAACAACACCTTTTAAATGTTTAAATGTTAATTTAAATTTTTGTGATAGTAAAGTAAATGAGAAACTATACCATTTGTGCATTTATTTCATTCGCATCAAATAAGCTATTTTTTTCCTCCATAAAAATGTTTCGTAGATTTATTGCCAATTACTTTATCTGTTGCACAATATCTTATCACATTTACTTTTACAGATTTTTAATTACTTAAGCTGTAAGATTTAACTGTAAGAACTGTAAGATTTTGAAATTAAAATTTTTTTTTTGCACGAAATCAATATAAAAAAAAGTTTAATTTATATGTCCTAAGTTATAGGCCTAAAAATTTTTTTTTCAAGTAGTTTATTCCGGTTAAACTTGTGAATATTGAATTTTCTAGTTCCACCTTCATTACTATTCCGATTTTTTGTTGACCAAAATATCATCACTATTCATATGCTATACATATACATATGTGTGTGTATTTTAAAATATCATGGAATTTACTATTATCGTGATTACAAAAACTTTAGCAAATATTGTTACTATTCTGAAAAAATGAAAAAAACTAAGGTCAAAACAGGCTAAAATTTTTTATTTTGTTATTAATATTACCATGTGATCTTACAAAATTCTTCCTTTCATATTACTTTTTCAACAATTTTGCAATATCAGTGGTCCACTAATGTATAAAATTTCTCCTTTATTTATACTTTTTTTTGCTGTGAAATGGATGATAATATAAAGTGATTGTAGACAGTTATACAAGTCTTGTTCATATGGAAAGAATTCATTAATTATTTTTTTGAAATTAAAGCAAATATTTGATACAATTAATCGAGCGGAAAAATAAAATACTGCGAATGTAGGAGATTTTACATAATTTAAAAGCATAGCTGCATCATACGAAAGATCAAACAACTGCATTCTTGACAGATGTTAGATGTAAAGCTTTGGTCGAACAAATTGGGGTAAATTGGATGATGGAAATGAATGCAGCTGATCTAATCCAGGATAGAAAATAATGAAAATGCCATTATCATGACAATTAATTTGCTTGAATCCTTTTACTTTCTAACATTTGATTAAATTTTAATCACATCCATATAACTAAGATTAGAATGGATAAAAAAACAATTGTTCAATTAGGTATTTTTGAAATCTGAGATTTCAAATTTTATGGATCTTTAAACTTCATTCTATAATTGAAAAGAAATTGGAAGCGATGTAGATTGATTTGTGGTAGCATGGTTAATTTAAAATATTTTAAAACATTTAACTCATTTTGATTCGTGTTGTTTCAATGTCCGAAAAATTTTCATCGAATTTAAATGAAATTTCTTACAAGACAAAATGAAGTAATAAAACGATAAGAATTAATAATAAAACAATAATAAAATGAAGCACAAAACTTATTCTCCTAATTATAAACAAAAACTTTTAATTTTTGAGTGTCATACCAATCTTGACGTTGCTCAAAAATTTGCTTTTGCAAGACACATGCAGAAAAAAGACAAAGTAATTGAATTGTAAGGAAAATGAAGACAGCTGGCGCAATGTATAACATATTGTTGATTAGAAATTCTTTGATCATTTCGATACATCCTTTCTGATGGATATCATCTCGCAAGAATAGGCCTTTATCATCCAATGCTTTAAATGGTGGCGGTTTACGAGCATTCAAACCGCAGTACATATTTGAAAGTGATGTGGTTGATTTCGTTTTTTTGCAACATGAAAAGGGTACACCATGGGCTTCTAACGAGCCATATGTTTTTAGCATGCTTCTATCGCTGAAATTTGAAAGCTAAAAGACAGTGAAGAAAAATTGTGTTCGTTCTGTTGCAATGCAATTTCACTGAGGGAATAATGAAAATCTGAAAAAGAATTGAGAAATCTCATTCTTGTTATTTCATGGAGAAAAAGCTTCTTTCCATCTAAAATTTCAATTCAAACTTTTTTTTTTTTTAGAAAAAGTGGATATAATAGCAGTACTGATAGTGATTTTTCAGAAAAGATGGACATGGTAGTACCAGTAACTGTTATATCATTACAATAAAAAACATTGTTAAAAAATATCATCGTGAGGGTTCATTTTGGTTTTTTGTTCTCAAATTATGAAGGATATGATAAAATGAGGAATTAGGTATACATGTACCTGAAATAGATATTATCATTCCAATCATGAGGTGAACATGCACCACAACATTTCAGATTAATTTGTATCCAATCAATTAATAGCTGTAAATCCGGTTCATCGCGATACAGTATCACAGCATCCTCAATTGTTATCTCAATTACATTCAATAATACACGACCATTGAATATTACCATTATAATTAGCATAAAATAAGTTATTATCATCCAACCTAGCATGCATACATAAATCATCAAATAGAAGCAATTGTCTCGTAAACTTCCTGAAATACTAGAAATAATTACAATTGAAAATATTTAATTTATCATACTTTGAATTAATGTTTACTTCTAAGAGTAAGGTAAAAATTAGTCGATAATAGATAGGTTTTCTTAGGAAATGAATCATTGTTAAATGTTAAAGTATCTTCGTGATGGCAAGACAAATTAATAATTGCCTTAATTACTCAAATCTTTCAAGAAGTTTTAGAAAAAAAATTCAAAATCTTCTCTTACTCATTGCTTATCTGTTATTTGGATCATAAGCAATAAAACTAACCAACAGTTCCACAGAAACTGATTATTATGCTAATGATAGCGGTAACAGTGATGAGAACTGTTGGATCCAAGAATAGAGCAATATTCTTGGGATCAATTTTATTCAAATTAAATAATATGCCAGATTTAGCTGTTTGCGCCCAAATAGCAAGTGTTAATAAACCGATAGAAAATAGAAGAAGGAAATAGCTAAGTGTGAAAATGCTATATTTCAAGCATCGATTCACTCTTGATGGCATCACAAAATCCTCATCTTTCTCCACTTTTAATACCACTTTTTTTCCACCAATGATAACTTTGATAGATGAACTGCTATCACTGCCACCACCATCATCACCTATCTTAAAAATTTTGCACAATTTGCCCATTCGAAAAGAAACATTTAATTTCAATGCTTTTAACTTTTCTTAGCATTATTATTATACTCCAATATTAGTTATGCAGATTTTTTATGCATTAAAAAAAAAATATTTTTATTTCGAATTGATTGTTCATTTTTTATTTCCTCTAGTAAACTAAGTAAGCATCACATGGATATGATAATTTTTCAAATGAAAAAAATTCTGTACATTTTAATTGGATGATTGATTGATTGATTGGTGTAATTAATCCTTGGAAATTGGAAATTGAAATAATTTAAATTATAATTACTCCTTTCCAATTTTGAGCTAGACACCATTTAAATGCAGATAATTTGTAATGGTGAGAAGTTTAACAATAAATATTTTTAAAATTCAACAAATATTATCCAACAAACAACTTATAAAAGTGTTAATTTTGGTTAAAAAGTAAGAGAAGCATTTGAAATTATCTGAGCCTTTCGGTTTTTCACTTTTTCATCTCCCAAAAAGAAGACACCTTTATTATTATATTTTCCTAATAAAGGTGAATGCGAGAGAATGATGAGATTGATATTTTTCCATTGGAATAAAGTTAATCGCTGAAGAGGGAAAAAGACAGAATGGAAGAGGGAAATGGCAATTTTCTTTGTTTTTACTAACTCACATTGAAATTGTTGGATGCTCCAAAACTAAATTAACCAATTTCTTGCAGAAATCATAGCCAACATGGCGGCAAATCCCTTTGATATTTTGAATAGTATTTAGATTTAGTTAAATCAGTTCTGTTTTAAATGTATGCATTGTGTATGAATGGATTTACTGTGTATCATCAGTATAGAGAGGAAGAAGAGGGAAGACAATTCTTTCATTATTAATATTTTGTCCTATTATCATACAGTGATATCTTCTTCTTCTTCTTCTTCTTCCGCCTTCCGTAAACATTTTAAATTTAATGATTGTACACTATCGATTTTTCAAAGTTCTCACATTAAATGTATGTAATTTAGTGGATAGCATAGCTAAATTTTCATGCTCAATTTGCATATCGCCACATTAAGTGAAGACAAAACATATTAGCACAGTGGCGGTAAAGACACAAAATATGTTGAGAAAGAAAAAAAAAGAAAGAGGATGCCGTCAAAACGCGCATATCTGTTGAACAGTGATCAAAGAATGAAAGGATTACTTAGGGAGTATGAAATTTATGAGGCATAGACGTATGGAGTGGTAATTTAGAGGAAAGATTTGAGGGAGGGTTTGCTATGGCAATCCTTTGATGTTGCCGACAATTTTTCAGATTCAGAAATCCTGAAGAAATCGTGAAGCAGAGTGAAATATACTTGATGAGAGGAGTGAAAACCTCAGTCAATCTGTTTGAGCATGGAAGGAAGGGGTTGTTATACTGCGCTGTCACACTGCTATGCTAATGTTTGCTAATCAGAAAAGGTCATCCCGAACAGATGACACTGTAGTTAATTGTGGTATTTTCCCCAAATTTCACCCCTTCAAATTATCATACTTAGAGCAGGTTTGGAAATTTCAAGAAATACTTTTGAAGTGTATTTAGATCGAATCAGAATGAGTGATCAAAGAATCTAGGATTTGAAGGTCAAATTCTCGAGAAATAAAACAGTAGCAGAAAATTTACAGATCGTTCCAGTTATTCTTCAGGAATTTAAATATTCATTTTAATACCTTGTATTCTGCATGCGCTTATGGCATCATTTGCGCCATCACTTTTCGTATTTTTCTTTCATCTCATTAATAATTGGCCAAAACTTGCCGTCTATATTTTCAATCATTCGGTATGATTTTTTTCTTTCTTTTTTCGCCAATAATTTATTAAAATTATATTTTTTAGAACTTTTTTGCAGACAGTCAAATTCAAAGAAATCTTTAAAAAATGACATTACGAGTTGGAAAGATAAAAATACTTTATTATGTTATTTGATTATATTTTCTTTTGCACCCCATTTTCAAACTACTTCGACCTGCTTTTGACTATAAAATATTTCATAAAACAGTTGGATTTAATTTGGATATATTTCATTGCGAGGATTTTGCTGTTATTCTTATTTTTAATTTTTTAAAATTTCATTAGTTTTTTACTTTTGATTTCTATGCAAAATTTCTAGAAAAAAGTTGAACTTTCTTCTAGAGATTTCAAATTTCATATTTGTTCAAATATGTATTCGTAAAATTTCATCATTATTATGCCGAAATGATAATAATATTAATTTTGCACTATTTACAACGATAGTTTGATCTTTTGTGATCATTGTAGGAGATAAATGACCTTTTCTGTGATCATTCAGGCGTCTTAATGTCTATCCAACCTCTTTCATGCATTAAATAATCTCTTTTAAAAATGGAGCATAATTGCTTCTCAGACAATTTACAACATTAAATGCAATCCGGAAAACTTAATCTCCGAGAAAAAGAGGACAATTTTCTCGATTATTTGTTTGTTTATCAATAAAGTCATAATAAAAACCATTCATGCAACATTTATCATTCAAAATAATATAAACTTTTTTTTCTTTTTTAAATTAAAATTTGCACTTAATAAGGCTTAATTTCTGCAAACATTCAAGTCAAATTACTTCAGACAAGTTCATCTTTGGAAGAATTTATTGAAATTAAATGGAATAGACCTGGAAAGATAAAATCTAGTGGAAGAGGTGCTATTTTTGCAAATTCGGTTACCGATTTTCGGAAACATTATGGTTTGGTGCATTTATCAGCATGTTCGAATTTATTGCGAGCATGGCAGAATAGAACGATTCAAAATTTTGAATGGACAATTTCGGAGCAATACAATCAACGACACTTTTGTTGGACCACACAAGAATGTCAAACATCTTGGCTGGCACCAAAACAAGTTACTACTTCATATTGTTCTTTTTTTTATTCTATCAGTTATTGAATATTCCAAAAAGTATTTCTTATTCGTCTACTTAATGTTTGTCTTACTGTTCATGTCATAATCATATAATCATTATCATTCGTCATCTGGAATGATAAACATTTTACAGACAAAATACGTGGTAAAGGTGTCAGTAAAATTTATGGATCATAAAGTTCTCCATGGAGAAGTGAGAATTAGAATTCGTGATTACTGGATTGCAGTAATTGGTGATTCATTTGCTTCTGGAGAAGGTAATCCGGATGTTCCAGTTAATGCACTCGAGAAAACAATGGCAAAATGGCTTTCGAGTTAGCGTATTCTTTCAAGATTTTTAAAAATGTTTTCACACTTTAGCATAATGCAACTTTGTCACGGTTGGAATTTCAAGGAAAAGTTTTTTTGATTAATTAAGATTGTTTAAGAATTGGAATGGAAAGGAGTGCATTTCAATTTCTTCCAATTTATTTGATATTTCAAAAATGAAGACAAATCCATTGCTCGAATAAATTGTAACAATGTTTGGTAAAGCATGCACAGATAATGAATGAAATTTACATTTGTGCTGAATGTTTTTCTTTCTAATTTTAATTTCTTCAATGAGTAAATTTTAGTGACACCTTCTATTCCCACCGGATAGCTTCTTACTTTATGCCGAAACTTATTGTTTCGCCTGAATAATAATCATTATTATGATATTTAGAAAAACGATTAAGCGGCGGCTCCTTTGAACCATCCATTTTAATACATCCCAAGTTAGTGCTTAAATCTGAACTTCTCCCAGACTACATGTAATAATTGCTTGGATACAGTTGGGAATGACTTTAGTGACCGTATCCGATCGGATGAAATGATGCTTATTTGATAAAAAGAAATTCTAAATTGCGGCAACATCAAAGGAAGCATAGAAAGGAAATCCCGGGGTCACAGAAAAATTTATTTTTGTCACCAATTTGCCGAAAAATTTTCTTGATTATCCACCAAAAAACATAAATTTATTTCGATTTTTCAGGGATCAAATATTTTACTTGGAAAAAAAGCAAAACCACAAATAATTGTATAACGTTTGAATTTTATTAATTTTCGGGAAGGAGCAAAAAAGTACCGACTTTAATAAAATAACGTTGCATGAGAAAATGAAAAGAAAAAAGTGAATGAAGAAAAATTTTAATTTCAAAAAAAGCATTTTCTCCAGCTAATCATCATTACTCATTCCTATTAGTCGATAGAGCAAGAAAAAAAAATCGTAAATGATAACGAATGAAATGCTATCCTCCAAAATCTCATTAATGTATATTCTATGTATCAAATTGAATGGATAAATTACATGATGAATAGAAATACAATTAAATATTAAGGATAAAAATCAAAAAACTTTCATCTAATTTTTTTTTTCAAAGTTTTAAAATTAAAATATTAAAGAGGAACAATGAATAAATTAATGCGTGAATGTTTCCAGATCGATGTCATCGAAGTTCTCGATCTTGGGCTTATAAAGTATACGAATGGATGAGTGATAGGGTGGTAGAAGAGAGTGCGGTACATTTCACCTATCTGCCATGTACAGGAGCATCTGTTGATAATGGAATTTTGGTTTTATTTAATAATACATCACAAATCAATGTGTTAGAACAGATAACACTTATAAGGTTATCAATACACTTTTATCATTTTTAAGTAATTTTTAAAAGTTTGAAAAAAAGAATCCAAATAATGATTGTAATTGGTTTATTTCATTTTACTTAATACATGTAATGATTTAAAAAAATAATTTTTTGCTTTCCATATTTAAATTTTGATAATTTTATAGAATTATTCTAATAGAAAGTTTGCAGTATTAATATTAAATTATTTAAACTTTTAGACCTATACTTTGCATTTTATTATTGAATTAAATCATCAATCATTTATATGTTTTTAAAAAATTTTAATTCAAATTTCACTAAAAGAATTTAGTTTAATGTAACACTTGTTTCGAATAAAGTTTATCCTTTCATTAATTCATCTTTTGTGCTTGTAGAATTAATTCTTATTTAAAATGTAATATTTGCAATGCAGCAAGTGGAAATGAGTTAATAGTATGCTAATATTTGCAATCACAGAAAGTAAGCAAAAGCGTGAGAAAACTTTCAGAGGTGCCGGTCCGGATTTGTTGATGATGTCAGTTGGCGGTAATGATATTGGATATTCCGAAATACTGTCAACTCTAATTGGAGGCCCAATAGGTTCATTATTCTCTACCATTGATATGCGCTTCTTCTACACATCATATCAGCTGGATCGAGTTGCTAAAGCAATTCAAGAATTAAAACCTAATCAGGTTGCATTTAATTTATCCTTTTTTAGAACTTTGAATCAGTTCACAAATTTAATATCTTTTGCAAATTTACTTATAATATTTCTCTTACTGTGCTTCATTTATTTATCGTATTCAACATTTTATTCTAACTGTTAGAATTGCAATGGCATTCAGGTTATCGTACCGCATTACTTCGATCTCACACGCAACGAACGTGGCATGGTGGACGCTGATTGCGCTGACATGCGACAAGTATATTTTTATACTATTTTACATAATATACAGTAAAGTGTTCCATAAAAGAATTTATTTCTAGCGCTGAAGAAAAGTTAGCAGTGTAGGATATGTATGAAAGAAATATACGTCAATATGATGATGTTACTTTGTTTTATAACGTGAAATTTCCATGGAATTCCTTTTCCATTCCACGTATTCGTATCTTGAATTTTTTCATTAAAAAACACTAATCAACCATTGCCTGTTTTCTTTAATTCTAAATCGAGAATAATTTATGATGAAAATAATTCAAATTTACAGATAAGCACCGAAAATTTAATATTGGCAGAAAAAAAAATTTTGCAACGAATTAATGGATTGATAACGAAAAAATCGAAGCAATACGGTTGGACAGCGATTGAAGGTGTGGCTGAATTATTTCGATCACGCGGTTGTTGTTCATCCAATTCACTCATCAGGTAAATTCATTTTAATCTTTCAATTTTAATCATGATTCTACTAATGATCATTCATTCATATTTCTCCTCTGATAAGGATGAAATGATTCTGCTGATAATATTCCTTCCAGAACAGTTCATTTTCGTTTCTATCCCTATACTAATATCTTTTAGAAAGGGTAATAATTTCATTTATCGGTTCCCATTAACAAATAAATTATTTTCACTTGTTTGAGCTAATTTAAATTTATTCTGTAAATAATCCAAATTTGCTCTAGAAATAACGAAATATTCAAAAACTGTTTTCAATTCAAATAAAAATATTTTCAAAAATTCAGTAAGTTAGTTTGAAATTTTCTAAGATATAAAAATAATTGTGCTCAATTAATTTTTGCGTTTGAGTATTAAATGTGAAGAGGAAATTACTTATAATGTAAAACAGTGAATTGAATTTTAGAAGCATACGAGACTCAATTCAATTACAAGGTAATAGTTTTGGAGCATTTCATCCCATTGAGGAAGCTCATCAACAAATTGCCGATTTGATTGTTAAACAAGTACAACAATTCGATAATTAATTAATATTTGTTTTTTATTTTTTAAAAATTGAATTCATAAAATAAATGAAAATGTCGCATGAAATAACGAAAGCATCGGAAAATTTTTTCCATTTTCTCAGTGCAATATTTGTATGAATTAAATTAATTTTTTGAGAAATGATGAAATAAACTAAACTCTTATCGATTGATGCTTTGAATTATCTCATCAATTTAGCATGCTCACTTTCATTTGTTACTCTCTCCTCTATTAATATTTATTTTTGAAAGCTTTATGTAAAGTAGACAATCATTTTTAAACTTTTTAATTTATCAAATTAATTTTAACCGATTATGAATTAATAAATTAATTTTCAGTTGCTTAAAAGAAAGCTTCAAATAATACATTCACTTGTATCTGATGAAAGTTGCATAATTTCGAGCTATTAAACCTCAATTTCATATTTATCACACATTTTTTATGTTTATTCGTCTTTTTTATGTTTCGAAATTAGTTGAATATGCATTTACACATAATGGAATAGTTTTAGTTTCTAACTGACCTTCGAACCCTTTGATTAATTGTAAATTTAACATTTTATCACATTTTACATTGTGATCTCATCGTTGCCAAAATTAATGCTATTTTTTCTTTTGTTGTTTATTGTAAATGAATAAAATATGTACAACGGCTTCCTAATTAATCGCTTCGTCATGCATTTAATTAATTTTTTAATTTAAATAGAATTCCTATTTCAAATGGATTTGCTCTCGTTACTACAGTACTTATGTCATATGAGGTGAAGTGCATTTGAGTTATCTCCTCTGGAAAACAGAAATTCGATTATACTAAATAAGCAAAAAAGTAAGCAATCATATTTCATAATATTTTTACTGTTGCAATAATATATTTCACATACAAATTAATTTCTCTCGTATCTGACGTGATTGGAAAATAGGCCTGAAGGCAACTAAAAACATCTCTAACGAATAACTTTTAAAGTATTATTAGCTAGAAAAAATTTTGTTTCGATTTTTTTTTTAAGAAAGGAAGACAAGGAAAGTTGACAATGCCATTAGTTAGGCCAATCAATTGCATTAAGATTTTAGTATTGTTTTATTTAATTACAAATGTTCCATACTTTTCATTTGTCCATTCAAATGAGGAAGTTAATTGTTGTCAATGTAAAATAGCATTTTAAAATTTGAAAAGATGCCATTACTTTAAAATATTTAAATTGTCATTTTTTCTTTAAAGAAGTAAAAATTATAATGAGCTTTTTTCTTTTCTTTTACTAAATCATTTAATTTTCTTAAACTTAACCAATTTGTAATAATCTGAACAGCAAACTATTTAATATCCTCAATTTGTAATAATAGTAATTATCAATGGTTAAAAAAAAATTCCCAGTTAGTATTAATTTATTCTAAAAAAAACCGTTACATTAACAATTCTTTCCTGCAAAGAATATCAAATTGCGATAATTTTATAAATACTGATGAATTTTTTAAAAAATTACAAATTATTAATTAGAAAAAAGGATGTATGAAGCAATTGTTACTTGAAACAATTAAAGTTTATTGCTAAGAAGCGAAAATGTTGGAATCAATTCCGCTCAAATACCATGATTTATTGATTTTTTAATAATACATTTCACCTTTCCTGATATTTTTTCTATTTTTTTTTGCAAGAATATGGCAAATGCAATTCTGATTTTTCGTTGTTTATCACTTTTTATTTAAAAAAAAAATAAGGATTGAAAATCATATCGAAATTCTGACAAGGATAAATTGAAAGAGATACCACAATAGCAATACCTGCTTTGAAATGAACTAAATTTTGCGCAACATCAGTCATTTTTTTAAAAATTACTCAGCTTAAATTGCCTTTTACTGTAAAATTTTATAAAATTTTTTTGTGCATTTTTGAGGTCAAAAGAAGAATTAGTATGAAGGAAAGTTTGAAGAAATAAACACCTCAAAATGTTATTGGGAAGAAGTTGAAATAAATGAGCAATTTGTTTTTGTTGTTGCGATAAAATTCCCTTGAGAAAAAAAAGATTCATTTGTTGTTATGAAAAAGTTAAAATTCGTTACTTTTTCAAAGTTTTTCCATACTTGCAAAATTTCACTTTTATTTATTTCTTTATTTTTTGATTTAATTTCAGAAATTTAAGAAGATTTGATTATGCTAAATTTTTGACATAAAAGTTTAATTTAATGAGAAGAAATGAAATACATACGTATGAAAGATGTAAAAGATGATGTTAAAGTAATAAAACACAAGAATGACAAGAATGATTTGATATGTGCTATAAGCTGTATTTAAACTTAAAATTTTGGATGGAAAGCATTATATTACACTTCTCGTCAAATTCCTATCTTAAAACTATTTTTTAGTAGAAGAATAAACCAATGTAAGATGCTTTCATGGTATTTCGATATATATTTGTATTCCATATTCAGTTTTTTATCTGCCATTTCGGTGCTTTTTTATTTTTGACTTTTCGTATTGATAGTTTCAGTAATGTATTTTAGAGTAATTTAAATAATGTACATTTGAAGCTTTCAATTTTTTCCATGTGGTATATGAGAGCGTTAAAAAGAGAAAAAAGAATTGTGAGTAAAATATCATCAGTCGATAGCTGAAACTTTCAATTATTTCGTTTTGAAATCATTCAAATGTTCGTGTTGCTTGAATGATTTCAAAACAAAATTATTTTTGATATTTTTTTTTTTTGCAGATAAATTTACTAACAGTTAAGCAGCTTTCTACAGTATATATTTTCATTTTTAAATGTTTCAAAATTAACTATTACCAAACGAATTGTGAAATTTTACTGCTCACTTATTTTTCAGTAACTTTAAATAAACAAATAATAATTTGTTTAAAGCACATACTGCTACCGCCTCATCGATCCATCCTAAGCCTGGCCTAGGCTCTATTCATCCATTATTCTCAGCATAATTCTCATTCATAATTTCCCCTCATACACTTTACCAATTTTTGCAATTTCGTCATCTTTATTATTACTTCGTTCAGCTGTGTCCCATATGCGAAGGGTTCGCTTAAGTGGTCGCTCGATCGGTCGGCTGATCGATCCATCGATCCAATGATTCAAATCCAATGGTAGCAGTTTATTCTTTCAAATTTATCTCCAATTTTACAGCCAACTGGTAATGTTTAATGAAAAAGCTTTTTTTTACAATAAAGTAGAAAGGTAAACTGTGTAAAATGATATTACAGTTAAGCGCTATTTAATCATTCCATTTCATTGTTGACAGTTAGAAATTTCTTCGTATTTCGCTTACAGCACAAGAGAAAAAAAGGACATACTGTAATAAATATTAATTAGGAGGCATACTAATTAAATCACTGTTTAATGGAATAATTACTATTAGATTTGCTCGATGGTGTCGTATTTTGTATCGTTGTAAGAAATATTATTACAATCTAAATTACTAGGTTCCCTAATCATTCTCTACTATTTGCTATCAGTTATCATTATCAATATTGCCATTATCTTTATTATTATTAGTAAAAATTTTATGTTAAAGATGAAATAATATGATTGAAAATAGTAGCTATAGTAATAGAAAACATTTGTATAGTTGGTGTCACAATCAGAGTGCTATTACAAAGAGAAATTATTTTCCGTACGTATATCATTAATCAGTGTGGTTCACCAGTTGGTATTACTGATAAGAAATATTGATATGATTGATAATAAAGAGATATTGGTAGGGGTGAAACTAAGTTGTAAAAGATAAAATATGGATGGAAGATGAAAGCAATGTCGAAGAAAAAAAAAACACAATAGCGTCCATTTAAACAAAGTCATTGTTCGTGAATTTTTTTTGTGTGTTTTTCATCTTCGATCACAAAAATAATTTTATCCTCATTTTCTGGCCTTACATTCTCTGGGCATCAGTAAGCTTCAGTTAGCATGCAACAGCAATTAGAATGAAGCGGAGCAATTGATTGGAGCCATTTGATAAATAATTTCAAATATGTTTTCAATACACTTTTTCTCTGCAAAAATTTCTTTCATTGAAAACACTTTTATTACACTATTTCTTTTCATTTGCAAATCGCAAATGTTTCAACACAAAAAGAAGAATTTTTAATTTGATTGATTTAACGTCGAATATGCACGCTTTTTTAATAAGCAATTTACATTTTTGGAAAAAACAAAAATTCCAATTTCCCTTTTAAGTACATAGAAATTAATATCTCTCAAAGAAAGTGAGTTTCAATTTAATTAATTAATACAAGATATTTACTATAATGCATTTTTATGATTCTATGGTGAAGAATAAAATAAATCATTTCTTCACATATCATTTCAAATGCTTTCTATGCAAATAATTACAAAGCGTATGATTAAAGATTTAAATAGAAATTAGAAAAACTTGAAAAATTTCTTCAACCTCAAATTTTATTCGGTTAATTTTACATTAATGAAATATTAATACCATTAACTTTTCGAGCCTATTCAGCATGGATGATTGCTGTTTTCATTCTTCACGATGTTAATTTCTTTTTCAGGATACATCAGTTCTTCGTTAACTTTCCTCTCCGTTCAGCACCGATAATAATCTTTCGGCTTCCTTTCCGGTAGCTAACAAAATCTAATTTTTTGACGGAAGTATATTCTGCAATTGTTCTCTTCTCTTCTCCTCTCTTCTATTTTCTTGTTTTGTTTTATTTTTGTGTTATAGCATACAAAAATTTGTTTAGAACAGAGAAGCTTCTTCATTCCACAAAAATGTTTATTTATAGGCCTATCTATAGAAACGATTGTCATGTCAGGCCTATCCAGAGCTTTTGATGAATAATTATATTATTATCTTCTGTTTGTTCTATGCCGCTATTATAAATTATCAAAGTTAATAAATCCGTTTTTTTTTTTAAATAGGCCAAATATTTGCCATTCTGTTTGTTAACATAAAATTGAATTATATTTTTCTCTTCCTCATAAATAAAAAAGGATAGCATTTTAAAAAGGAATTTTTAAAACTCTGAAAAGTATTAATGCCGA